TTAAAGACTTTGGTATGTCTCGGCCAGGGGACAGAACCCAAAGCCTTCCTCACAGGGGCGAACGCTCAACAAATGGCCAAAAGTGAGGCATTGTCAAGGGAGACATTAGGAAGAAGAAAGTTATTTAGAAAGGAGAGAAGAGATAAGGTCCCAAATTTAGTCGCCTCTTACGATCATGCAATTGGGGGCAGCAGGTACAATTCTTACGCCCTACCTGCAGGGTTTATCGCATATACAAAAAACCCGTATTTATTAGTAAGTATGTAATAAATATTATTATAAAACCTAAGGTATATTTTCCCTTCCAAAATGGTAGGAGCTGTGTTTTTTAATCTACATGAATATATATAGTATCTCATAATGAGCAATACAAAATTAATTTCGTCTCTGTGTTCTTTTTCTATTACACCAAAATTAAAGGTTGTTGGGTGTCTGGGCAAGGTCATTTGGTACTTATTTTCTAGCGTATCCATCAGCCATAACCAAAATGTTTTTACTATACTGCATTCCCAAAAAAGATGCATAATAGTTTCTCTCTCATTTGTACAAAAGGTGCATCTTTCAGTTTCAGCTAATTTGTAGCTCATTAATTTTGTGTTTGTATAGATGATCCTGTGCACGATTTTATACTGAAAGTTAATAAGTTTTGTGTCATCAGTTATGGCCCTTGTAATCAGGTTAAACTATTCCCAAGGTTCTTCACTAATACTACTATGGAGTTCTTCTTGCCATTTTCTTTGACTATTCACCGGTTTCCAGAGATAGTTTGGATAAGAATATGATAGAAATAATTGATAACTTTATCATGTGTATTAAGATAGTTTATTGATTTATAAGTTGCATAAGGTATGTCACCATTGATATTTTGCAAAACGTCTTTCCAAGTTTTTGGTATGGCATTAATACCTCCATAGTAATCTATAAAATTAACATTAATATTATGTTTTTGAGAAAAAAAATCACAAGACATGAATTGATTATTTTCTAATAAATCAGAATAAAAAAATACATCTTTTTTACATCAGTTTTCATGAAGAACTCACTTATTGCCTCTTTTAATTAAATAATTATACCAAATAGGTCGCGAGACCACATTATCTGGGGTTGTGGGGGACACATTGTCTTGCATAGAGGCCCAAGCCGTAAACACTTCCATACAAAAGGTAATATTTTATTTGGTTAATAAAGTTAATCCGTCTTTTGTCATTTTGAAAATATTGTCGCCTCCAAAACACTCTAGTTTGTCTAATAATAGTGTTTTCCATGCTGCCTGATTTGAGGGGTTGATACAAAATTTACTCCAAGACATCTTTAGTGCATGACAAAAAGTTAAAACATGAGGGAGACGTAGTCCCCCATTATGATAATCACAATACATTACATTTCTCTTGATTTTGTCTGGCTTTCCGTCCCACAAAAAGTTGAAAAAACATTTTTGCACTTCGATAATGATATATGAAGGTGGGACTGGAAGAACACTTAATGTCTGGATAAGGATAGGTAATGCTAGAGTTCGTATTTTACTTACTCTTCTTATGTATGAGAGACTTCGGAAAGACCAATCTTTCAATAAATGTTTGACTGTTTTTAATTTTTAATTGTAGTTGTCTTTTTATTTGTTTTTTTGAAAATTGTGTTTTATTCCTAAACGTTTAAAAATTCCCTGGTGATTCCATTATAGAATTTCTCTCTGGTAGAAGTTCCAACCCACAACCCCGTCTCGCCCCAATCCTTACTGCTTGTGATTTTTCAACATTTATTTCGAGACCTGATGCTTTCGCAAAATTGACCAAAATGTCTAAAGTTGCTGCAAGGGAAACTGGATCATCAGATAATGTGAAAGATGTGTCATCCGCAATTGGTTAATTAAATATTCTGAATTATTGATAGTAATGCCATTTATATTTGGGTTAAATTTTGGAGCTGAACTAAGTAGTTCTACACATAAAATGAACATATAGGGACGTACAGGGTCCCCCTGTCGCCTTCCACGTTGCACATCAAAAAGAATCAGAACAGTGTCCATGATTTATAATACAACATGAACTTTTTTTGTAAAGAGATTTAATCCATTGGATAATGGATGGCCCGAAACTATAACAGTGTAGAGAGTCGAAGATAAAATTAAATTTCAAAGAGTCGAAGGCTTTTTCGAAGTCAATCAATAAAAGAAGGCCTGGAATATTATTTTTTTCTGGGGGGTTTTCACTATCAAATCAGCAATTATTCTGGTACATTCCCCAATATATCTTCCTTTTTAAAAACCCTTTCTGTGTATCACTAATGAGGATGTCTAATACTTTCTTTAGTCTGATTGAAATAACGGATGAAGCAATTTTATAATCAACATTCAATCAACAAAAATCAAGAAAAAATCAAATGCAAATGGAACTTTATCAATCATTTACTTACTTAATTAAGCTGCCATTGTTTATGTATTTTGGTTAAAGTCTAAAGAGCCATATATTCCTGTCGGATAACTTCACGTCTAAATTTATTAAAAATAGCAATTATCTGTCTTACTTACAGATGTCATGGTACTCTGTACTTGTCTTTAAAAAACGTGAAATATCCGGATGGAAATGAACTCCAAATTAATATAAACTTTGTACATACATGAGCAAACAGTTTAGACTCATATGTATACATTCGAACCTCGTTATCTCGAAGTCGACGGGATCGTTGGGAAACTTCGAGTTATCCGAGTATTCGAGTTAAGCGAGTTCCTATGTTTGGCATAAAGCTTGGTAACAATATGAGGCTATATATGTCATTGATTTCTCTGACAATCAACGTATTTAAACAGTCGGATAAATGACAAAAAGGTAATTATACAAAATATAAAATAACAACTTATTCATAATCATATTAATTAATTAATTAATATTACAATCAACATACATGTTGTCTCCGACCTCGTGCTATGCAGATAGAAATATCAATGCGGAAATGAAAGTGCGCAAGTCTTTACACAAATCACTGTACTGGAGCGTACACGTTGGATTGCTCAGTTGATTTCGACATTCCAAAAATGGGTATGAGTTAATCAGGAAACATATCCACATTGATAGACTCAAATGACACTTGACATCTCCTCAACACGACGTACTCAACAATAATTATCGTATTGTTCCTATAATCTCTCAATTATTTATCAGTGCCATACAAGCTCCTGTAAAAACATAAACCGGCGAACCAGTCCTAGGTTGTGATTTTTACTGTGCGCCACTACTGAGTATGTTTCCGGATCTACTGCCCGGTACCGGGTTCTAGATCATATCAGTTTAGTGTGTCTCATCGTTTTCCGGTTGGGGCCCCCAGTAAAGCCGTGTGTCAGCAAAAGTGTGTTTATGGTTTTTGTCTCTTACTGGCGTGTTGGCAGCGCTATATATGAACTCACATCTTCCAACAAACGTATGAAGAAACGAATCGTCCACGCACAATAAGGTACAAACTAAAACCGCATCGTGGTGTCATTTCTACTGTGGAACGCACTTGAGAAAAAAAATGGCTAACACGCACAGGGCCCCGAAACAATGGTGCCTTACAAAAAATGAAACGGTCAATTCTTTTGAAAATTGGAGACAAAATCTCATGTATACCCTTTCTTTAGATCAAAACTTTGCCCCGTTTCTAGTTGATGGCGTACAATGGCAGAAGAAAACGAGAACAACACAGCACCGGGGTTTTGTGGATGATGGCGAACCTGTACCCGAAGGAAGGCGGCGGACACGTGATCAAAAAGTGGGAATGTTGGAATTAATGTTAGGACAGATTGCTAACTATGCCCCCATAATTTCTAGAAATACTATTGTGAAAAATTCCACGTCAGTTGAATTTCTTTGGCAGCAGATTCGTCTTCATTATGGGTTTCAGTCAACAGGGGCCCAT